AGAAACGGGGAGTTAGGATAACTGTAGTTTAGATAATAACAGAAACAGCTTCTCTAGTGCTTTACTCTTCGAAGTGGTCCACAGCTTCTCATGAGAATTATGAGAAATGCAGAATCTCTGGGTGTCCTTACTGACTCAGAATCTGAATTTAATGAGATCGCCCAGGTGATTCAAAGGTACATAAAGTTCGAGGAACATTACTCTACAGAAGCTGGGGGACAGAAGAGTGGTGGGTGAGATAGAGAAGGCTGGTAATTTTGGATCAGAAAGATAAAGAACGTGTGATGAGGAGGTAGCATGACCTACAAAGGGACAGGTGTGTTTTGTGGGTGATGGTTTTTGTTTTATTTTAATTTTACAAGACTGTAGGGTAAAAGTGATCCAGGATATGGCAATGGGGAACTAGGTGGACATCAACACTATATCCTGTATATGCGATGAAAGAAAATAATTAGGCACCATTTGGGAGCTGATAGCCTTGGGGAGAGCTAGATTTTAGTTTAAGGCAAAAGGTGGAACGAGTTCCCAAAGAAGACAGTGCATACAGGGGAGTTTGCTGTTTATGGATTAGCAATTCCAGGGGCACAGAATCAACCATCTTTATCTTACCTTCTCTTTTATTTCCCCATCTCTGTATTATTACCCAGAGCCATTCTGTCTAAAATGTATAAAGTGTAAACAAATAATTTCCTCCTTGCATAGGAACTTTAAGGGTGAAAAATGCATAACAAAACATAATTTATCGATTCTGTACCTTAAAGTGCTTTTTCAGAAAAGGGATATACTAAATGTACAAAATCCCATAAATCAATCTTAATCTACTGTTTTAAAAAAAGTCCACCCTTTTTAAGGTTGTGAGTTATTTAATACAATCCTTTGCTATCTTATTTTGTCCTACTTCCATATCCCTATTTCCTGTTTGACTTTAGGATTCTGTTTGACTTTATTTTACTAATTGATCTTTATACCAGGATTAAAATAGAATATCAATAAGATTTTCAGAATTCATTTCATTTTAATAGTGACATCATGCACTTCCCTTAAAATCTGTGCTATGTCAATAAAATCAGGCTTTGTAGTAGAATGTCATTAAAAAAAAAAGAATGAGTTGCCACTGTCTAGAAACTATCACCTTCTACTTCTAATATCACCACTGTAGAACATGGTTCTCAAAGTGTGGTTTGTGGCCTTTGCTAAGATTTTAAAATTTTCTATGAGCAATTTTTATGTAATAACGTGGCTTTTTCTGCTACAAAGCTACAGTAATCAAAACAGTATGGTACTGGCACAAAAACAGAAATATAGATCAATGGAACAGGATAGAAAGTCCAGAGACAAACCCACGCACCTATGGGCACCTAATCTATTACAAAGGAGGCAAGGATATACAACAGAGAAAAAACAGTCTCTTCAATAAGTGGTGCTGAGAAAACTGGACAGCTACATGTAAAGGAATGAAATTAGAACATTCTCTAACACCATATACAAAAATAAACTCAAAATGGATTTAAGACCTAAATGCAAGATCCGATACTATAAAACTCTTAGAGGAAAACATAGGCAGAACACTCTCTGACATAAAGCACAGCAAGATCTTTTCTGACCCACCTGCTAGAGTA